AGACTTACTGCATATGCTATGTCGGGTATAGTACATACCATATCATACATCAAAGAACCTACTATGTTAGCATATGGAATGCTATTCATATAAGTTCTTTCAACATCAGTGCTTGGACACTGATCTATACTCAGCTTGAATTAAGGGTTTTTCGGAGTCACAACAGGCTTTGAATTCAACATACCAAACTTTTTGAGAACCTTCTGTAGGTATGCCTCTTGAGATAAGCATAATTTTGACTGCTTTCTATCTCTCCGGATGTCAATCCCAAGAATCCTGAACGCAGCTCCCAGATCCTTCATGTTGAACTCTTTATTGAGTTCAACCTTCACCCTCATTACCTCTTCGACATTGTTTCTTTCTATTAGAATATCATCCATATAAAGCAACAAAATAACAAATGAATTACTCGGTCGAAATCTGAAATAAACACAGTGGTCGAACTGACTTCTGATGAAACTTATGTGTGCCATGAACTTGCCGAATATCCTATTCCACTATCGAGGAGATTGTTTCAGTCCATATAAAGATCTATTCAGTTTGCACACATAATCTTCCTTCCCCCTTTCGACATACCTTTCAGGTTGCCTCATCGGGATTGTTTCATCTAGATCACCATACAAGAACGCAGTCTTCACATCCATCTGTTCCAGTTCAAGGTCGAACTGGGCCACCATGGAAAGCAACATTCGAATGGATATGTGCTTCACAACAGGAGAGAACACATCATTGAAGTCGATACCTTCTTTCTGAGTGAACCCCCTAGCAACCAATCTTGCCTTGTATCTCTTCGACGTCACTTCTTCAATTCCTTCCTTAACTTTGAAAATCCATTTACAGCTGACTAACCTGGCTCCAGTAGGTTTCTTGATTAGTTCCCAAGTGTTGTTATCATGAAGATATTTCATTTCATCATCCATGACCTTCATCTATTCAGTCTTTTTTCGACTCCTCATAACTTCCTTATAGTCTCTAGGTTCTTCGTCTAGAACCTCACTTGCAGAGATTAAGGCATAAGCTATAAGATCTGCATACCCAAGTCTCTGAGGTGGCTTAATGACTCTCCTCGACCCGTCTCTTGCTAGCATGTAGTCATTATCAGTCTCCTCATCTTCGACAACATCTTCTACGTCTTCTTCGACTTCATCTGGGGTAAGCAATTCAGCATCAACATGCTCCACCTCAACAAGAATCTCTCCCTGTTCCAACTCTTCGTCAGCATCATCAGTTTTCTTGAAAGCCATTTCTACTTCATTGAAAAATACATCTCAACTGGTGACACACCTCCTGTGACCTGGCTCTAGGCACCATAGCCTATAAGCTTTGACTCCTTCAGGGTATCCCATGAACATGCATTTTAGAGCTCTAGGTTCGACCTTGTCTTGCCTAATATGAGCATAGGCCACACAACCATATACTCACAGTCTATCGAGACTAGGTGGATGTCCCGACCAAACTTCTTCAGGTGTCTTCATTCCCAAGGCAATCGAGGGACATCTATTTATCAGGTAAGCTGCTGTCGAAACAGCTTCCACCCAAAACACCTTCTTCAATCCAGCACTAACCAACATGCATCTAACCCTTTCAAGGATTGTTCGATTGAATCTCTCAGCTAGGCCATTTTGTTAAGGAGTACCTGCTACAGTCTTATGCCTTGCAATCCCAGACTCAACACAGTAACTGTTGAACGCTTCGTTGCAGAATTCAAGGCCATTGTCGATTCTCAACCTCTTAACCTTTCTTCCAGTTTGAGTTTTGACCAGAATCTTCCAACTTTTGAAATTCTCAAAAGTTTCATCCTTCGTCTTCTGATTGAATACCCATAGCTTTCTGGAATAGTCATCAACGATGCATAGAAAATACCTTGCACCTGAGTGTGAAGGATTCCTTGCAGGCCCCCAAAGATCAGCATGAATGTAATCCAGGGATCCATGTGTTCTTTGCTTTCCTTTGTTAAACTTTGCCCTGCATGATTTACCAAATACACAAGATTCACAAAATTCCAACTTTTCGACTTTGTCGTCTCCTAGCAGGATCTGCTTCCCCAATTCGACCAGGCCTCTTTCGCTGACATGGCCCAATCTCATCTGCCATAATTCTGTCTTCGACATAGGTTTCATGGGTGCAACATTTGTCGAACCACTTACAACCTCAGCCTCAAGGGTATACAAGCCTTGTTTCTTCACGCCTCTTAAGACTTCCTTCGACCCCTTTATGACTCTTAGGATACTTTTCTCTCCTTGAAAAACATATCCTTTTCTGTCGAATTCACCAAGAGAGATCAAATTTCTCTTCAAGTCAGGTACGTACCTGAATTCAGTCAATAACCTTATTGACTCATCATGGAACTTGAATCTCACAGATCCAATACCTGCAATTTTGCAAGATTTGTTGTTTCCCAGCAACACATATCCACCATCTTGATCATATAGCCCCTCGAACAATTCTCTGTTTGGAGTCATGTGCCAAGTGCAACCTGAATCCATAATCCACTCTTTTCTCGAGTCGCCACTTGAAACCACAAGAACATCAGATGAGTCGAAGTCATCTTGAACAATGGTTTCATTGCCACTACCTCCATGATCTTTCAGGCGTTCAGGGCACACCTTTCTTATGTGACCCTTCTTCTTACAATGATAACATCGAATACTAGATGTTTCGCCACTATAAGACTTCTATTGACTTTTACCTTTCTTCTTGTCGTACTTACCATCCTTTCGCAAGAATTTTCCCTTACCGTCGAAGGTTTATGCTCATTTCATTCGTTCAAGTCCTTAGAATACAAGGCTGATTGAACTTCTTCAAAGGTTAGAGACTCCCTTCCATACAAGAGAGTTTCTTTAAAGTGAGCATGTGTTCTAGGCAAAGCACACAACAGCAACAGTGCTTGATCTTTATCATCGATCTTCACATCAATATTTTCAAGATCAAGAATCAGCTTGTTGAACATATCCAACTGCTCAGCCAACACTTTGTCTTCACTCACCTTGAATGAATATAAAGCTTGCTTCAGGTAGAGTCGGTTCACCAGAGATCTGGTCATGTACACACTTTCAAATTTCACCCATAATCCCGATGTTATAGTCTCCTTTGATACCAGTCAAAGAACCTTATCACCAAGGCTCAACAATATTGCGTTGTGGGCTTTCTCGATCATGCCCGTCTTTTCTTTTGTCGTTAACGTAACGTCCATGGCTGCCTCACCCTTCAACGCTTCCAAACAACCCTACTGAACCAATAGGACTTTCATCTTCAAGCGCCACAGACCGAAGTCGTTCACTCCGATGAACTTTTCAATCTCATACTTTGTTGAAGGCATCTTCTCCACGTTCACCGCACCAATTTATTGTGAATTGGCTACCTTAAAACTAAGTATAAACAATTTCTTAATGATCAAGAAACACACAAGGGTTATGATTAATAAAGAAGAAAACAACAAGAATTGGTTATTAAACTGCTATTCTTTCCTTTTTCTTAGAACAAGATTACAAGTATATAAGAATAATAAAATAACCTCTCTTGAAATTAAGATTTTATTTTCCTATGAGAAACTAACATCCTATTTATAAGAAAAATAGTACACTAACCTAATGGACTTTTTAACAATTACTCATTACAAACTAACTTAAACAATTGAGCTTACAAGCAAGACCCAATTCAACATGCTAACAACTCTAGTAATATTGACTAATACATGTTAGAACAAACTTCGACTACAACATGAATTACTCGCGAACAGACTTCAACCATCTAGAGTTCGATCCAACATCTCACATAAACACATCCTAAATTTAGAGTTTTATCACATAAACGGTGATTCAATGTTCATAGGTGTAAGTAATTGACTTATTATACTTAGAAGAATGAGAAAAGGAAGAAAAAAGAAGAGAGAAAAATTGCTAGTCCCAAACAACAATAGGTGTGTTAATGATTGGTGCGTCAAATATGAGTCATCCAAAATAGCCCGAATATGCGACTTTCAATACACAAGATTCTCGACTTAACAAAGCATCTTCCTCTCTCTTATTCTATTCCCTTCCCCCTTTTTTGTTTTTTTATTCCACTATTTTCATTCAAAAACCGCTTCTTCCTAATTATTTTCTCCTTGCGTTTCACTACTACTACTCCTTCTCAACATTAATCAATTCTTCATCAGGTTCTTTCTCTCTCACACACATTAGTTTCATACTTTATTGTTTTCTAGAGTATAATTGATTTTTCTTTAAATTTTAATTTTGCTTTACTTTATGTTTTTATGATTATCTGTTGTTGTTGTTTGTTCTATTTGATTAATTTAAATTTTTGGAATTACCAGTGAAGCAGATAATCTATTTTTTTGTTTCCCTAATTAACACTTTTCTGATTTGATTATACTGAGGATTAAGCTTGGGAATTGATTGGATAGCATGTGTGTGGTATTTAGGTGCATTCTGGTTTTCCTCTAGAAGCTTGAATGCATTGGATTAGAAAGATGTTATCATAGTGAAAACATTTGATTTCAGTTATTTTGATCATGGCAAATTATTTTTAAAAATCTGTATAATCTGTTTTTGCTTGGATATTAGGGTTTTTTTGCAAGGCTATCTAGTTAAATTTTTGTTTTTCTTTTTTCTTAGGGTGAAATAGTAATTTGTTAAAGGCTTAGGGTTTTAAGTACTAAGCAAAAAGTGAGATATAGGGACTCAGACGACAAAAATTACAAGGATCAAAATCAAAAACTCGCTGACTTACCGGGATCATAAGTGCTTTTAAGCCTTTGTTAAATAATCTCTATTTCTAGCTGTTATTTGTGATTATGCTAATTTTTGTGTGGTTAGAACTTAAAATTAATTACATGATTTAGCTTTTGTTATGATTTGATATGAAGTAATTAAGATATTTTATTTTTCAGAATTATTGGGTTCTAGTATAAATCAGTACTCTCCAATCAAAGTGTTTGTGCCAGCAAGAAATTGCTGGCACACAACACAAATTGAATTGCATCTGGTATACTCAACAACATGAGTCAAAACTGTACACAGAATCACAGTAGAGCCCTCGAGGGTGTTCATGGGGTCCAAGTGGTGCCTCATTCACCGTTTTCTCTGATCGAAACTAATCAAAGTGGGGATCTTCATCCATCAACTGGTGGCACTTCAACTACCAGAGAAAATCAGTTGCTGATAATGCAGTGAGTGATATATATATGTCAAAACGGCGCAACTTTTAATTTATTATTATTTTTCGAAACTGTATATGCTAACTGAATTTGAATATGTTGTGTAGACGTGCATGGCAACAAAGACCGGCATGCTTGAGACCTATCCATTGTAGTATCAGTTGTCATGGTACCGTTAAGAAAATTTCTTTCCGTTTATGTTGCTCTTGTTTTACTTGGAATAATAATCTAATCGGTTTTTAATATTTGATATGCTGATATATTATGTCCCGTTATCAGGTGATCAGCATGTTGCTGAAACAATTGCTAATGTGCTTACTTCAATTCCTTTTATAGCTCTCGGAATGACTGCCCCCAGGTAATATTTTTCTCCCAAACATCTCGAATTCCTTTGGCTAGAAAGACGTCTTATGAGAATTTCTGTGATGTAGGAAGAATCTCAGTTCTAAAATGTATGCCAATTCGTTAATTGGAGTTGGAGTGGCCTCAAGCATGTACCATTGCTCAAGAGGAAAACTGAGGAAATTTATGAGATGGGTTGATTATACAATGATAGCTACTACAACTGTTGTAAGTAGCATATTCATAGATAGTCATAAATAACTAAAGGCTATTTCATATATCTGTTTTGTTCAAAACTTGGAATATAATCCAATTTTGTAAATCACTATGATATCGTCTTTTCTATAAAATCATACTGCAGTGTCTGTCAAGGGCCCTCAGAAACGAGAACCCAAAGTTGCTGATGGCGGCATCTGCAGCATTTCTTCCCGTTAATCCATTAATGGTTACAGTTATTCATACTGGGATGATGGAGGTAAATGCCTTCAAAATTCAAATATTTACAAATGGAAATTTAGTGTCCTTTGCTTTAATTGACAATCATGCTGCTCCAGTGAGGGAGTAATTGTTGGAGAAACAAGAACACAACAAATATGCATAAGCATACGTTTATATTAAACATTTTATAATTATGCTATTCTTGTTCTAAATGTTGTTTATTCAGGTAGCATTTGCTAAAAGGGCTTTGAAGGATCCCAACTTGAGAATGGCTCACACAGTGCACAAAATGTCATCATTAATGGGTGGTATACTGTTTATAGCCGATGATTTATACCCTAAAACTCCATACCTTCATGCTGCATGGCATCTTGCTGCTGCTGTTGGTGTAGGCACCTGCAATAAGCTTCTTGAGTAGATTTGCATAGTCCAATCAAAATGTGGAAGCATCCATTCTGTGCAGAGTATGAATAGCATCAGCAACATAAGTTGCCGGAGTTTCAGTAATGGTTAATATTATAAAGTAGTTCATTATCCTTATGGATCATGTTTATATTGTATTGTAGCTGGGTTCAATTCAGATTAGTTTGCCCAATTTATCTTACCTTATTAAGTTGTTGGAAACTTGGATGTTCATTATTAGTAAAATTTGTTAGAGGAAGGGATTTGTCAAAAGAAAAAAAAAAGGTTGTTATTATTGTTGCTCAATTATACAACATTATGCAGTATAATTTTTATCTTAATGTATATTGCTTGTTTATATGGATACTTTAGTTTTTTCTTTTCAAGAGAATTTAATTTTGGTAAGTGTGTAAATATTTGTTATGTTGCATTTTATTTTGGTGGTGTATATACTTTGATGTTAGCATAAGTGCAGTCCCGAATACAATAGTTATGAACACCCAAGAGAAACAGCAGCATTTGGAAGATTTTGTTTAGGGAATTGCTCTTTCCTTAGGGGTTCTTCCACACCATTGTGAAAAGATTAAAATGTCTTCGGCGTTCAAAGATACATCTTCGAATACGTGTTTTTCACACACAACTGAGGCAAAGATGGTGAGAAATCTTTCTTCTGTTAAAAATTGATTCGGAAATGCATCTTGGTATGCACGAAAGGTTGATTCAGAGATGTATTTCCGTAACTCCCCTTAGTTCATTAGTCAATAAAATTTCCAGAGATGCATTTTTTAAATACGCTCTGATAAATCAAAGCAGAAAAGTAGAATGAAAAACCAACATAAACTAACTCCAAAGTAAAGATTACATAAATAAACATGACATAAATTTAACATTACATATTATTAAAAACGGGCGGTTCGAAACGTTGCAACATTCTTATAATATCTTCGGCTAATCTTTAAATCGTCGCATCTACTTCAATCAAACCCTTTGTTGAGTAACAGTAAAAGGTACTTTACATCACCTTTAAATCATCATCCATCTCCAGTTCAAGCATGGTGAACTATATCTTCCCTTTGTTGTCTATAGAGGGTGAAGGTACTCGAACTTGACAATTCTCCGATTTTCTGGATATTGCATGAGAGCATTCAGTTTAGTTCTCAGGCAACGAGAAATATGTCATCGCAGATTCGAAATTGAAGTGGGGGGTTTTGCGCCATTGAAATACACAAATGTAAGAAGAGACTCATTATGGTTTGTGTAAAGAAAACGGAATGAAAGATCTTATTTATAGAAGTTGTAAAGCAATAAGGACCTTACAAATATGATCATATCTACATGAAATTCTTCAAAGATACATATCTGAATCTGCCTTTTTTTCTAAAAATTAAAAGTCTCTCCTGATATGCATCTCCGAATTATCCTCTATTTTGTTTCTTTTATTTAAAAGGTGTGTCCGGAGAAGCATCTCCGAGTCCATCCAAAAGTTATGTAGAACAAAACCATGCTAATTATGCATAGCAGAATTTGAAAAACACAAAAATGTCCAAAAAAATACCACCCAATTTTTTAACATTATGTAGTGTGTTACTTACAAAAGAACATGTTACATTGTAAGAGTACAACCAAAATGCATCAAAACATATGTCACTATTTAAATCTATTGGTGGCTCATTCTCCGACCTTTCCTTATTTGATTCTCGTTTAATGTCGCTCAACTTGGTGAACTCTTTCATCCTTTCAAGAAAGTGATTCGGCCATGTGTCAGCATCTTGTGTGAAATATGTTGTCCACTCCTGTGATGTCTTTGGTATAGAACATTTCGGTTTCAAATAAATTTGAACAAAAGGTTGTTTTTTTTTATAGTCAACCAATACACATGATGTATTCGGATAGATTTTGAGGTGACTTACTCTGAAGTGGAAAGAATGTTTCCAAAAAATCATATCGTGTTAAATCAATGCACACCATATCATAAGCCCTTACTATAAGATGTTCCATTTTTGAAAAACGGGTCCATTTGTCAAACGAAGTCGGACCACTAAGATAAGGAACAAAAGAATTGAGAATTATATCGTAATTTGATTTGTTTCCGTATAGTTTTGTGTATGATTCTCTATGCGTCATCATCTCTTGTATAAGATGATGGTGGACAAAGTGGTGGTCCTCCTCTCATTTACCTCGAAAACCACAATTGTCGTCACTTTCAATATTTACAATCCACTCGATGTATTTGTGCATAAAAAATGACATTTCTTCAATGAATTTGATTTTTGGTAATGGCGGTGGAGGAGGTGGTTTTCTAATGCGAGCACCCTTGAAAACATTCTTTTAGGATTTGGGAGTCAGAGAATCTGAAAAGTGTGAGTTTACATGTTTAGAGTATGAAGGAGACCGTCTCGTGGAATTGTAACTTTATGTTGGTTTGACCTTTTTAGGTGCACCCTTTATTTTAACCGAATTCAAAGGTAGTTTCAAATCCTTTGTTTCTGGATATTCAATCTTAAGTTTCTCTTTGATGTGCAATTTCATGATGTTATCATCTTTCATGAATCGCTTTTGGACCACTTTCCACTTTATCATGATAGATATGTTTGATTTATCATCCTTTATCACATCATCATCATCGAAACAAAGTCTTATCCAGTGAGTGAAAACTTTGTCCATCTGTATTGGTTTTTAAAGTTTCGGCTTCTTTTAAATTAAACAAGCACATGGAAGACTGTAATTCTTCCTAAGTATACCTCTAGACTTTGAGCTATCTGAACCTGTTTTATCTGCTCGCTTAGCTTCGTGAAAAATAAAATTCAAAGCCACCTGAAATATGTTGCCAAAGAATTGTGAATAAATGATGTCGTCTTTGAAGCGGTGTTCTAACACGGTAATTGATCTTGACGGCTGATCAAAACCTGAAGTCATTCAGAGACTTTGTCGGTGATGCAGGATTGCAAGGATGAGAATGAGGTGTACCTGCAAGGCACTCCGATGCTAAAGTAAGAATCACAAAGAGAAGACAAGTACAAAAAGTGTATGTATTAGAATGATGTTGAATGATTTAGAATACCTGACCCTCTCAAGTGAGAGGGTTTTTATAGTGCCATCGTCGCTTGGACATTGGTCCCTATTTTTGGGCCAAGATAACCGCTCCCTGAAGAATAGGTAACTTCCAGAAACTAGTCGTTGGAACGGGGAGAGCTGCTCGAAACTAGCCGTTGTCATGGGCAACGGCACGATCGCGGGCACGGGTGTCGTGACTGTTTCAGGATGGTGAAACTGTTCGTGATAGGCAGGAATGTGACGATGGGAAACTGACCCTGGGGGTCAGCTGACCAGCTTTCCTCAGCAGAGGGGTAGAGGAGAGGAAGCTTTACTTTACCCTTAGCTGACATGGCAAAGACTATTGGGTCATTCTAGAAACAGAAGTGGATTGGGTCATGTCTAGCCATTGGGCCAGTTTGGAATAGGAGACCCCCAAGTCATTGCTCCTGAGCATATGAATGATGACTTAAAGGTAGCCAGTGGCCCAAGGAGGAGTGGGCGTGGTTGATGCCCGTTACTGAGATAAGATTGTTTTGTAGTGCTCGAAGGCGTCTGCACCTGGAGTGTTCTCTTGAGTGTCCGACGGACGGGGAGACCAACAGTTGATGGGACTTGAAAGGATGGAGTGTCACGTGTGTATCGAGCCACGCGCTGCATTTAATGCGTAATGATGGTTATGCTAAGATCATGATGATGTCCTATGTTGCACATGCTCGTGCACGTGTCCTTGCTCTGCCTATAAATAAGGGAAGGAAGTGCTTATTTCTATTTTTCACTTCTCTTTCTTCTCTCACTATCTGCTTTTGTCTCTGCCGCTCACCGTCGTACCTCCGCCGCACGTACAACGTCCAGGGCTCGTCAACCACCTACTCTTCTTCCTTGACCACATAAGTTTTCCTATCTTTTCTCTGCTTCAAGACATTAGCTTCTGTTTTGGCTAGTTTGCATGCGGTTAGGATGAAACTGGGTAAAGTAAGGGTGGTGTTCGACGATTGTTGGTGGCTGAAGGTAGTTAGGTTGTTTCCTGTAACACCCTTTTTCTACCCCAAAAATATCAAGGCAAAATAACACAGAAATCAGAGTGAATAAATAAATCTCATTAAAAAGCCACTCAAAGGGCGTACATTTCTCAAAGTCATCAAAATAGGTCCATACTCCGTAACTACGAGATTTTCCCAAAGTACATCAAAACATCATAAACAGCGGAACTCAAAGCATAAATCAAGGTTTCTCCACATAAGGGAAAATTAGTAAAATAACCCACTGATATATAGTTCAACTCAAAGAACCCAATCAGATGTTACATATCAGAGCAATACCCTCTAATTTAACCAAAAGGCTAACAACTCTAAGACTTCAAAAATACCCCTCAACGGCATCTACAGCTACACTTGGTCATCTGCACGTTACCCACGTGGAGGTAACATTCAAACAGGCAAGGTGAGTACAACAATTCATAATAATCAATGTATAACAATTAATGCATAAACGGCGTCCTATTCATATTCAACACATTCATATCCTTCAATAGGCCTCGAAGGCCACAACGTCATAATTTATACACAAAAACTCATAAATGCAAATGCAACATAGACTCAATGCATATGGTACCAATCATCACAGCTCGATGGAGATTGGGCCATCAATCCTCCATAGATCCCCATCAATGGGATTGGAGCACATCAAAATACTTCACATCCACACAGTGGGATTGAAGCCAAAGCAATCGAGGTCCTGAACCGAAGTCCGAATGCACATGAATGCATGATGCACACGTCACAAATCATCCTCATAATAACATCATAGGTGCATCATCATTCATCATATTCACCATATTCATCAAACGTCATAACTCATCAACATAGTCATCGTCATCACATAAATCGTCATATCTCACATAACTCATCATAATAATCATCATCATCACATAAATCATCATATCTCATGTTATCACATAATTCATCGTAGTAATCCTCATCA